AACAGAAGTTCCTTTCATTTGAACTGTTTACTTTTTCTTGTRTTTTTGTACTTATAGATTATATAAGCCTAGAGGTGAAATTAGACCTTTTAAAAGCACCTATATCTTTTTTTAAAAAATGCCTTAATATTTGCAACTGATAATTCATATTACTGAAAAAGATTATGAGGAAGAGCTGTGTTGGACTTAAACCAATTATCCTTAAACTTAGTAATTATATCAATAACAATAAAATAATTATTTAAAACAACCAAAACCATTCAGATTGGTCAAACTTTAAGCACTGAAGTTTCCAGTACTACTTTCATCTACTAATACTTTCAAATTCTGAAGAACACTGCAATCTTTTAAAAATCACATTTTAATTATATGATTAAGGAAATAAAACTATAAAAGTGTTCAAACAAAAATTAAGTCATAATGCAAAAATTGTATTTAAGCTACACTTAAAAATAAGAGTGACAAGACAAAATTAACAAAAGAGAGGTGGGAGATAAGTTGGACTGGACTATGAAGATTAACAGGACACATTTGGTGTTTCCTTCCCCACTTAAATTCTATTTGATGAACTAGCAGAATAGTAACTATGTCTATATTATCTATTTCTCTACACATCTGTATCTATACCCTCATCTGCTTATCTCTACATATTTTCTATGTGTACATCTATATATATTTCTACATCATATCAATCTATATTACACATATATGAGTACAACTATAAGTGTACTGGGAAACCTAAAGCATACTCAGAAACTGAGGCATTCCTGAAAGACAGGAAGCAGAGGGACCAGATATTAGGGGAAATCAAAGAGAGAGGAAAYAAAACATTTTAGCAGAAGAATTTTATGAAACTTAAAATAACCCTGAGGAATTTCTAATTCAGATCAATAGGTCCAAGCTATAGTGTCACAGCTGTACAAATGAAGTTTGATTCAAGCACATAGGACATATGGCTACATTTTCCTTTCTCTTGCTTGCTTGTCAGAATTTACCAGTGACCTTACTTTCTTCGATTTTTCATAGCTGGGAAACCAATCCCAAGTGTTCCCTCACTTAATAATCATATCCTAACTTGATCTTTTTGCTTTCATACCAATAAATAAGATAATGAACATGAAATTTTTTTATAAATTGTCAAGTACAGTGAAAATGTTACTATTATTAACCTCTACCACTGCCTCCACCAACTGCCACCATCATCACCACCATCACTACCATCATCATCATCTACACCTTTTATTCAATTAGCCAGTTCTATCGAGTTTTCTCTTATTGCCTGAGAGTGGAGCTTCTTTAAACTTTGATTGATTCTGACCTTCAGAATTTTGACCTCTGAACTATGTTTACTGCTTGGCCTTAACCTAGGATCAAAGASTCTCAGGTGTGAAAGGAACTCCTACGAGCCACCAACTGCTTCGGCCCTCTGCACATATGTTCCCAACAAATCCAGTCTGATGCAAAGCGCTCATAATTTCCCAAGGTAGGCTACTCCATCAATGAACATCTACAGGGATCAGAAAATACCTTGAAGCTCAGGAGATACTGCTTATAACCATCAAAATTCTCTGTACTTTGTTTCTTACCATGAGATTTATGAGCTTGATGAGATCAAACAGGACMAGAGTAGGTTCCACAGGAAAGGGATAAGGAAAATCTAGAGGTCTAGCAACTAGTCACAGTCATGTTTGGTGAATTAAAATAAATTTTAAGTTTTTTGTGGTTTCCAGTTTAATCAAATGGCAGAAGTCATGCTCTAGCAGGAATACAGTGTGCCTGGAAACTCCTGTAAAAAAACTCTTTGGAAAATAAAGAGTATCCCAGTTGGAAGCCAGAATTGTTTTGATGAGAGGGAAAGAAATCCCAACACCCAAAGGTTTGATTATCAAGCTATTCCTTAATGTTCACTTTAAAATAATCTCTATTCAGAAGCCAGTATTAATTCGTTCTACTGGGATTATTTTTCAAATCTCTAAGTGTGTTGTTCTCTTTGTTACAGGTCTTATGTTTCTTCTGGGCCCAGATATCTTATATAAACCCTGAAAGCTTCCCCTGTATGAAGGGATTATGAAAGGCTTCCTTCTGTTTTTACATCACTAGGGAGTGTTAACAAAGTAATTCCAATTACTGGATGAAAGAGTCCCTTTTTTGCCAGTGATAATGCATTTATTGAGGAGAAGTTCTTAACATGTTTTTGTTTTGTGGATGATTTTGGGGCGGGCGTCTATGAATTTTCTGATACCATATGCTAAATTTTGTCTCTAAGTGTGCTTTTCTCGGGAGAATATCYATAACTTTCATCCAATTCTAAAAGAATCTATGTCTCCAAATGTTAAGAATCACTGATTTAGAGAATGAATGTGTTGTGTGAATCTTTAAAATTGAAAATCTCTTATATTTTCCTATKGTGAATATACAATGTATTTACACATGATAAGGAATATCATGTGTAAGGAATCAAATGTTTTTTTGAACCATTAAAAATCATTCACCGTTTTCTTTGTTACAGGAGGTCTTATACATTTAAGGGTATTTTCAATGTGTCTATAGAAACTCATTCTGATTCAATTAAATATGCATGTGGTGTTGCCCAGAGCCCTGAATGGAATCAGAGGGTTTTTCTCTGATCCCAGTTTTAGCATCAACTAACATATGACCTTGAGCAAATTCACCTTAACTTTCAGAGCTTTTATTCTCTCATGTGGAGAACATGTTAATGAAAAGATCTGCTTGGTAGAGTCCCTAACACTGCATGATATATTTATGTGCAGATTTCAGCTCAAGATCTTTGGAAGGCCTAGACCTTTCCAGTGAGTGAAGGGCAATCTGTCAAATCTCATCAGGTGCTTATTTGATGAACAGTTGTCAAATACTATTATGTCATGATTTTCCAATTGGTATGGTTGTTTTTCACTCAGTTTTTCAACAAGTTGAAATAAAATGATTTGTTGTAATATTTTCCCTTAATCTTATTAGACAGTTGCCTGAGAAATTTGATGCCTTGTTTGTCTTAAAATTTTCCAAAGGTAGCTATGATTGCAGGATACAGACAAAGAGAGATATGATAGTATCTTTGGAGCATTTCAGCTTCAACTGTCTGTAAAGTGGCAATACACCATTGTTATTGTGTATTTAACAACTGTTCAACTAGCTTCTGTCAGCTTTATATTCTTAACCACATTCAAACTAGTGGGTATAAAATATGGGGTTTATTATTTTTGAATGTTTTAGAGTGATCTCTCATAATATTTTAGCAAGAGTCAGCATGGTAGAATGCAAACTACGGGCCTATGAAGACAGACCTAGGTTCCAGTCGGACTCTATCTTTAATGGCTTTGTAACCTTGGACTATTAGTTGGTCTTTCTGACCTTCAATCTTTTTCTTTTTCTTCTGGAAATATAGGAAGCATATAATAAATATTGGTCATTCATGTGTATCAACCTTGGAATGTTGTGCACTATGAAGACTGGAAAACAGATCCTTTTACAAATATAATCTTCAATGGGAAACGTGAAAAATAAAGTGAAGCTCTCCATCTGGGTTTTGTTGCATTATCATGAACAACTTCGCACCATGCCTAGCACAGAAGACAGCTGTTGAGTTAATTATTATATCATGAGTATCTTGATATAACAATTGACTACAGACTTTTAAAGCCTACTACCTCTATCATTTGGTATATTTGATATGTAGAAAACTGCCCCAGCCCTGCAATGACACACAGTTCAGAATGACTGTCTACTCAGGGAGGGGCCAGAGAGAGCTCCATTCAGTGTCATTGCTCTACCCTCCCCACCCTGTAAGACTAAGGSTTCTTCTGTTCCTTGATCAAATCCTGTGCTCACACTACTGCCAACCCTGTGTTGTGGTGTCTGCTATTTTATACCCTTATCGATACTTTATAACCATTGCAAATCTAACAGTTATAGAATAGGGATTTATGAATATTTAATAAGCATTATTATCATCTTACTTTTCCAAATCACAAATTGACAAGGCATTTCTTTAGTATAAGTAAGATGAGGCATACTTGACTGACTTTCAGTATTTTCAGGGAACAGGTTATTAATATCATTTTTTTCAATATTTAATTGTCCTTGTGAATTTTTCCACTTGTTTATTTTGATCTGCTCCTTTAGAAACACATCATGCATGATTTAAAGGAGTGGCTGGAAGAGGTGGGTCACTGGGGTTGTACCCTAAAAGGGTGCATCTTTCCTGCAGGCCCTTCCTCTTGCTTTCTGAGGTGCACAGTTTTCTTTCTCTATACCCTTCAGCCACGATGCTCCATCTCATTTCAGGCCTAGAGCAATGGAATTGGCTAACCATGGACTGAACCTCTGAKACTGTGAGCCAAAATAAACTTCTCTTCCTTTAAGTTGTTTTTGTAGAGTATTTTAGTCACAGTGATGAAAACCTAACTAACACAAATACTTTACACTATTCTAAGTGTTCTACAATTCATTTTTAAGTAATCCTTGATTTATGTTTTCTAATTGATAGGTAACAAAACCAAGCTTTAGAGAGTCTAAAGTACTCATATAAAAAACAACACACAAGACAAATAATATAATAATAATCTACTTTACTGTAGTTATCATATTTCAGGCATTGTGATGAGGATCTTCCATCTAATTTCTCATTTAACCTTAGCTTCAGCCCCAGGAGGTAAATATAGTTCTACTATGACTTTTACTCTCATTTTACAAATGTTCAGAGCAATTTTAACTCAGGTATTCTGACTTAGATCCCTCACATAATTTTTAATTGTTTTATGATACATTCTGCTTCCCAGAACATGTTTATTATGATTATTTCCTTCTTTGTCTTCTTCTCTCACCTCACTACCTTTCTTCTTGTTGTTGTCATTAATTCTGAGGGGAAAAACAAAATAAAAACAAACCCCCCACAATTAAGCATTGGGTTTTGGCAACTCAGGTTTACCTCCAGTAACAGTATTAATCGGAACGAGGGTGAACAAAATCTTCCAACAACTTACTAGATCCAAAGCAGCKGCCAGGATGGATGCATCAGGTATTGTCCCTGGCTCACAGCAGTTTAACAGAAACTGGAAGCGTCTCATGCCTTGTCGGATTGCTCCAAGATTCACCACATTTTTGCTTTTTCCACCATCTTGGTTGGGAGAAAGATGGTCATCAAAACTATGGCAACCTATAGGAGTTGTGCCATTGCAAAGGAATAAAAGAGAATGCATCACAGATTTAAAAAGAGCTTTAGAGATGGCCTCAAAAACTCCTCTCCCACTCCTCCTCCCTTCTCTGTACCCCTTAAATGCTTAGTTTCAGTTCATCCTGACTTTTGGGAATCAATGATGCATGGCATCTGAAAATCCAGAGTTTACCTAACTACTTGAATTGTAGGGTCTGATCACTTTGCTGCTGAGCATCTCTAATACTGATAAGAGCGCTTGGTATGTTTTAAATGGTCCTTCCTGTAATAAGCAGCATTTCCCCCATGAAGGTGATGGCAGAGCTGAGAACATAGAAGATGTGCAATGAATTTGTTGTTTGTGTTTAAACAAAGCAAAACAAAACAAAACCAGTTGCTCTAATCAACCAAATATCTTCCCACAAACATAGGCAATTTGATCTCTTAAATAATTTTAGTGAATATGAAGACAAAAGAAGCTCTCTGAATGTCATCTCAATTCTAGCAAATGTTCTCCAGACATGTTTTTTATTTGTTGAAAGAAATAATAAGGCAACCTGTTTCAGATATTACTCTTTTGCTTTCTAGACAGGCAGAAAGAAACTGAGAGTTACAGAAAGAAACTGGAGTTACTTGTACTATGAGAGTCCAATAAATAAATCTGAAACAGGTTGCCTTGTTAAGTTATAAACTCCCCCTCAGTGGAAGTGTGCAGAGGGTGGCTGGCCACCTGTGAGGGATGTAATTAGAATAAAATTAAAATTAAAAAAGAAAATTCTATTGGCAATTTATCTCAACTAAATGAATTTCAAGTACTACATTTAAATTGAGGATAAGAATGTTTGACATTTGTTTTCTTTAATAAGGGTTAATAAAAAACAAAACAAAGAAATTATGTGGTTAAAATAATAAATGAGAAAAGGACAATACATCTCAAATGGATGCAGAGGGATTGTTTATATGCCTAGATTTGGAAGAAASGAAGGAAAGAAGGAAGGGAACAGAGTAGGAAGGAAGGGAGGGAGGGCAGACTCAGAGGGAAAGATGTTCACATGGATAAGATTGTTGAAAAATACAATGTTCTTAGATTAGCAGATAATGTTGTTTTGGTTCATTTAGAACAGCTGGAGTTACTTGTACTAGGAGAGTCCAAAGAAATTATCTCACAGAATATCTTTTTTTTTTTTAATTTTTAACAAGCCAGAGATCATAGACAAGAAGCAGTGATGTATAAGCTATATTCCTTTGCCAGTCAAAAGCACATAAATTATGCTAGTTAGGAATCTCAGATATTACTCTTTTGCTTTCCAGACAGGCAGAAAGAAACTGTGTTTCAGATATGTACATTGTTACTAGTCATAGGAATCAAGTTTAAGGATAAATATATTTTCAGAAGGTAAGGAAAATTTTCCTAATAATTAAAGTTGTTTAGCTCTGAACAGATTGCCCTGTTAAGTTATAAATTCCCCCTCAGTGGAAGTGTGMAGAGGGTGGTTGGCCACCTGTCAGGGATGTCATGAGCAGGATTCCCATGTAAGTAATGTGACGATAAAAGTTCTCTAAGATTTTAATAAGGAATAGAGCAGCAGAAGAATCTCTGTCTTATTCTTCACAAACTCAGTGCCCACAGGGAGTGAGGAATGTAGCAAGGCTTCTATAAATGTCTTTTCAACCAAATTGATAGAGAAGCTACACATAGTAGTAAAATACATGTGAAAGAAGCAAATGAATGAAACGCCATTGGTAATAGAAAATGACCATTTAAAAAAAAAAAACAATCTCAAATAAAGAATTTCAGAAGTTAAAATTGAAAAGAAAATGAACCATTTTATTTAAACAAATTTTTTATTCTATGTGATGAAAGTTGAATGGAATTCTTAGGCTGCATGACATTTACCAAGACGTTTGAAGAAATTATCCTCCTCTTCTCTTCCATTTTCCATTCCACTTCCTGGCCCACTTTCTGAAAGCTTTACAGCACTGGTGAATTTGACCTGAGAAGAAAAGGAAAGTAGTCCAACAACCAAATTCATTGGCAAATTTCTGGGTTAAACTAATCCTTGATTTTAAACATCGGTTGTTTAGAATATGAAGATTGCTCTCTTCTCTGACTTCCATGTCTAGTTTTGTCACTATAGTTTATTGCTATATACCAAAAAAGATATCACCGAAACTGCTTGTYGAAGAGAGATTCCAGGTCAGAGATAGAAAGCTGAATAATTGGGCACCTTGAAAATAACCTGGTAAACACCTCAGATACTCTTAGAATTAAATTCTGATGAAGTGAAAATTCAAATTCATGAAAAGTAGCACAAATTCATCTTTTACAAACACCACCAGAGTTGAAAATCAGACCAAAGTGAAAAATAGTGAAAAAAATACTTCAAAATTTTAAATAAATTTAAAGAGTTCACTCTAATGAATATGCATATATATTTAACTTTCTAAGCATTAAAATCTGTTCTTGATCTTGTCTATAAACTGAGTCCTCAAAATTTTGAGCCTACAAAGAAAGCTGTGGGCCATCCAGACTCCCAAATATTTGGCCATTTTTTTCTTAGCAAAAATAGTGTAAAATAAGAAATGTAAATGTATTTCCTCAATGTTCTGTAATATTGCTATATTCTTTTTATAATTTTAATATATTACTTCTAAAACACTAAATAGGAGAAACAGGTTTTAGTGAGATTTAAAAAAAGAAAGAATGTAAGAAAATAATTGGTAAATAAAGGAAAGGTAACTCATCATATACTGATAAGCAGGTATGTAAGTTTCTTGGATATGAATAATCCACAGGGAAGACTCTACTAAAAATTAATTTCACTGAGAGTCATTCCAAGTCAAAAGCTACTATAATGTGCAACAGTAGTATGAAGAAACAGTGAGAAAAGGCACCCTGACTATCTTTTGCAACAGAGAGAATGGTCAAGATCRTCCCAAAGGTAGTGTAAGGGGAATGAATGATGTGCATGTGCATGTGTATGTATTTGATAAATGCAAGGAATCACTATAGAGTTACTGCCTCCCTGGAAATGAACTTGGGATGCCAAAAATGTCAGATGTGTTTAAATTTAAAACAGCTGGGAAATGATGCCTATCTACATCTCTATATCTGCATTATCATTTTATATAATTTTTGCTGCACTTTCCCTTTTTTCTCTTCCTAGAATAGTCTACTACCTAAACATTTAAATTTTCCATTGCTCATTAAAATTTCCAAAATTTATTCAATAGTCCCTTAACTCTTCCTCATTTGGCCCCTCCAGGTGTTTAGCATTTCTTAGCCCTGACATTTTTCTATCATTTTGTGACTTCAGTTTTCACTTACACAAGTAACGTCCTGTTTACCTTGGAGCTTTGCCTGATGAAAGACAGGCGGTCCACAGAGCTGATGTCCAGGAGGTCCTCCACACCATCTGCCAGGCCCGAGAGGGAGGATCGTTTCAGCCAGTTTCCTATTTAATAATTTTTTTTAAAAAAGATTAGACTGTTACAGCATTTGCTCTCAAATGGATTAAGCAGAAATGCCAGCATGTGCTCAACAAGCAATGAAAGTTACATGGCTTTGATATAAATAGAAGCAAAACAAGTTGTTTCCAGTGTGTGTGCTTTGAATCAAAATGTTCAGTGTTGGACTATAAAATTACATAAGCAGGCAAGACCAGGACAAAAAGAACCTGGTCCTCTCCAGTGAATGAAATCATAATCTGTCCACTTGTCCCTGACAAATTTCACATCTCTCTTTAAAGCCTATTCATTTTACCTCCTAAATACCTCTCCAATCTGCCCACTTCTCTCTGTCTACTTAAAGTAGTCAACCAGCCCAAGTGTCCATTTACTTATACCTAGACTACTAGGCAGCTCTCCATCTGGTCTCTTCTAATGTTCCCTCCAGGATGATTTCCATGCTGTGATCTTTTAGAAAATGTTTATATGCTTGTGTTACTCTCTTGCTCAACAACCCACTTGGTTATCCAGACTCCAGGATGAAGAGCCAACCTAACCTGCAAGGTGCCATGTTCCCTGGTCCCATTGCRAGGCAGCTATTCTTCCCTTGTTTCAGTTCCTCAATTCCCTTCATCCTATTATTTTTGCACATAGTATCACTTCTTCTTTAAGTATTCTATAGATCTTGATGTCACTGCCTCTAGTCTTCCCTGCCTCCTGCCTCCTCTCTTCCTTTAGGTCAGGTCTCATTGCTGCAGGCTTTCATAGTGCTATGTATATTTTCTTCATAAAATTCATAGTTTGCAGCTATACTTAGTTGAATCGTTATCTGCTTTAGTGACAGTGGCTCTTGTCTGATAGCAAGTTCAGCAGTCAGAGGAATGTGTGTTTTGCTTACTATCTAATCGCTGATACCCAGAATAGTGTTTGCACACAGTATAGGCACATAGTAGGGACTTGAAAAATAACTGCAGAAAAATATAAGAGTGATTTGGTGAATGAGTGGATGAAGCAGTAAGCCTGGGCCTTGGGAGCTGACACCTTTCCTTTTCAGTACCCCACCATGCACTGCTCTGTTTTGATGGTAAGTTGATTTGATGACATGGTAGTTAACAAGAGAATCCATAAGTAAATACAGACATACTTTTACCTATGGGGAGTTTAAGCTTCTTCCGGAGGGAAATTCTGCGGGACCGTGAGCGGGCACGCCTGTCGGAGGTGTTCCCTGAGTGGGCAGTGGTGCATTCTGAGGTGTCCTGCTCAGACTGGCTGCTGGTGTCACTTGCTGCACTCTGTGATTTGAACATCTTGCGCCAGAAATCTTTCCGCCCCAGGTTGCCCCCTTGCATTTGTTCATCGCTGTAAGCAAGCAGAGGATAGGGTTAAATGCCTGGCAGTGCATGTGAAATTCTCCTAAATTACTTTCAACCTCTTGCTGATGATATTTAGGCAAATTATGCAGAAAGMTCTTTGACAGGCTGGGTGTGGGAAGAGTGGGAGTCAGAATGGGAGGAGGCCCAAGGTTGACTCTGAGCTCTTCTTGAAAACAGTCATGTCTCAGCTATCAGGTGGAGGTGGTCATTTTCTTCTAACCTTAATAAAAAAGACTAAATATTATTGCAGGTATTCACCTGCAGTGTGAGTCATAATAGAAGAAGCACTTAAAATGTCAGTAAACATTTAGCTTTTTAAACTCCCTGGGGCTTCTGCAGTACGGTTCCTCACTCCCCAATCCTTACACCTGACACTAGTTGTTCTCACAAAATATATTTATGTGATTGAGTGAACAAATGAAGAAAGTATGATCACCATACCAGGAGATACATCATCCTACTATCAATAAGTCAAAAAGACATAGGTAGAGTTTAAAAGTAAAAAATAAGCCCAACTCAGTAGGACATCTGCAAGGAGATTTTTTATTAGGGCAAGTGGCCAATAATATGCAGAGTTTAAACTCAGCAGGAATAATAATAATAATAATAATAATAATAATAATAATAAAGCCAGCTGAAATGAAATTTCTATTTTCACTTACCAAATTGGCATAGAATAGGGATAGGGGAGAGAAAGTTATGGTTACTATCATATACTGCCAGTGGTAAGGTAAGAATGGCTACATATTTCTGGAAGATAACTTGGTAATATGCTTTTCAAAACCTATATCCACACCTTTGACAGAGAAATTCAGTTTCCAGGAAGTAATCCCAAGGAAATAATGGAACAGCATACTTAGTTGAAGATACACTATTGGTCAACATTTAAAAAGTGGAAACAATATAAATGATTAGCTGCAGAGAAATAGTTGAATAAATTATGAGACTTCCATATTGTGATATTCTCTTTAGTCATTAAAATCTTAATTTGGAAGATTACTGCTATGGGCAATGTATGTGATACCTTGTGAAGTTTGAAGGCAGTTACTGAATGGCTTATCCATGAAAACACCTTCATAATGTAAAATTATGAGTTTGAATTTAAAAAACTAGGACAATGCACTCATTATCACTAAAGTTATTCTTACATAGAATTCCTTAATAAATTAACTAAAATTTTTTATTTTCTCCAAAGATTGTTTTTCTAATTATTATAACCACAAAGTGCTTGATTTAAAAATTARTATATCATAACTGATAACTAAAAGCATAAAATTRTAAATAGAAAAAATAACAGGATAATATACATCTGGGTATGARTTTGTGTGTAAGCACACTCAAAGACATACCCAATATAATGCACCAAAAATTTTGTTATCTTTAGTTGGTGGTATTTTGATTTTAAGTTATTTTTTTCTTTTTTTAATATTTATTTTTTAGTTATAGGTGGACACAATATTTTATTTTATATGGTGCTAAGGATCRAACCCAAGTGCTTCATGTATGCAAGGCGAGCGCTCTACYTCTGAGCCACAACCCCAACCCTTAAACTACTTTTTCTTGATGCTTTTTTGTGTTTTCCACATCTGTCATCATGAGCAGCATGTATTGCTTTAGTAGTTCAGAAAKAAAAGGTTATAGAAAAATTCTAATAACATGATGAAATTTATTTACGGGGTTTTAATAATTATATGCTTATAAGCTTTGAGGCTGAATCCCAAATTGAACTCAACTTTGACAATATTGTAAAGCATTCATTTTCTGGAGCTATTTACATTGAAAATTCAGATTTTATCTTTCCAAATGTCATCAGCGTACTAAATACTTTTAAATTCTWATTCTCAACTCTTATAATCTGTTTATCAAATATGGTATGCATTTAAACTGGTTTTCTAGAATTGGACCTCTTGGCTACTGTTGTATTTTGGGAGGATGAGGGTACAACGATGAGTGTGTCACTACATGGTCTGAGTGGGAGAACATCCAGGGAGGCTGTCATTTGTCAACCTTCTCAAGAAAATGCTACATCAGCTTTGTTTAGAGAAAAATAGGCACATAAAATCCACTTTCTGTACTAATCAGTTAATGAGACTATTATTTAAGGAAGAAGAAGATGAGTCAGGTCAAGAAGGATTGGTAAAAAAAGAGAAACAGGATGGAGGAGGAGTCAGGATCATCCAGAGTAAGCGCTCACCTTTTCCCCAGCTAAACAGAGGAAGTCTGGCATGCTCACTCCTGGGCCACCTTGAGTCACAGACAAATTCCACACTTAATATTTTATGACATTCCTCCAAAGTGAAGTGTTTATGTAGGGGCATATTAAAACATGTGTCTTCATTCAAGAAGAAAGAACAGACATGTTTTAAATGCTGAGAAATTGGGTGGTATTCACAAAGGAACTCGGAACAAAGAGAATATTTTGGAATCTAAAAAATGTAATCACATCTAAATGTAGATGGTTTTATTTTTAAATCCAATTTACCTTTTAGATCATTCTCATTGATCAGATTAGCTCAATAGTTATGGGTGTTATTTGGGGACAAAAATCTTCTGTCCTCTTTGGGGCAGATCTTCTATGGATAGGGGTTATAAACTAGATATTCATCCATGGAACATCTCATTCATATTGATTTTTTCCCCCTGACAGAGTTTATATTTGGACTTTTACCATGTCCTTAAGGGTTTTCTTAAAAGAGAAACTAAAACTTAATTTTGAGAAAGGAAATTAAGAGATCAAAATCTTAATGATTATATGATGAATTTTGCCCTTTTATTGATCAATTGAATCATTCATTCTTAAAATATATATTAAATGCCTCTCATGGGCCAAGCTCCATCTTGGTTCTGGAGTGACAATGGTAAGCAATAATTCACATAGTCCCTGGACCTGTGAATTTGATCTACCTTCTCCTTACGTTTATCTACCAATAGGGGAAGTCCGATTTTGAAGTACTACAACAACTGTGCAGACTTTGGTACTTGAAGATTTTATTTGCTCTTTAGGGATTACTAAATTCTTATTAGGTGGTTATTTGTTTCTTACCTTTGATTTACTTGACTATGGAGAAAGGATACCATAATACCTAGGATATTCTGTAGAATTACTGGAAAAACAACTACTTAATACTGAACAAGGGTTAGAAAAACAAAATGATGAATATAAAATGATGTACATTTAAAAAATATTGTGGGCAAATAAATAAAAATGAAAACAAATGTGTCTTGCATTGAAGTTGGCTTTATAATCAATGTTTACAGTAACCCTTACATTTCCTGGGGGCATAAATTTAAAGATGCTTTTGTCATTATGAACAGTGAAGAGCAGCTGATGTTGGAATGAATCTTAGGGCAGGACCTCAGTGCAATGGAGTAGAACCCATATGTCAGCTAAAACTGAGCAAAAGCTTTGTTGAGCACATTGACAGCCACTCATGCATTAAAAAGAAAAAATCGCAAGTGATTTTAAGCATGAAAGCGGATGACACTGTCACCCCACTTGATATACATGYTATTTTAAAAGATGTATCAGTAGCAGTGTGCATGAAAGTCAGAAGTGGGAAGGAACGAGATGGAAAAGGCAATTAGGGAGGCTTTCTCTAGGCACAAGGCTGGTTATTTGACCTCGCCTGGAGAAATTAGTAGCATTGGAAATAAAAAGTGTAGGACAGAAACGAGGCCAGTTTCAAAGGAAATGAAAAACAAACCAACACCCTCCGCAAAAAAAAAACAAAAACAAAAACAAAAAAAAAACCAAATCAAACAGCAGTTTAGAAAACAGAATTTCTTCCAGTGTGAAGTGCCTAAACCTCTGCATTGGGGATGATAACATGYTACTTACTGCTCTGGAGTCTGTGAGGGGCGACCAGACATGAAGCTGCGACATTCCTCAGGGGCAGAGGACACCTGGCCTTTATCCACAATGCTTCCTGCCTCTGACCTATGCAGATGGACACATTTCAACAATCACAACAGAACAAGACACCACCTCTTAATACTTCAGACCTTCTATGAAGCAAAACATCTGTTATACACATGCTACATACTCATGTCACCATGAGTTTGTGTTATATAGAATTTATGACCTCATTCTGCCTTATTGCTTACCAATACCAGTATTATTGCAAACGGTCATTAACTGAAAGCAGGATTTTAAGTTTAGGAGTTTCTTTTAATCTTTGTAAATGGTATTTAGTATACAATAGGCATAAAACAAATGTATGTTTACTAGTAGGATAAACTACATAYGGATACATAGCAATATGTCTTTTGCCACATTTAGAGTATCACTTACTGATATGGTGATAAAGTCTCAGTAATTGCTTTTCCTTTCTAGCCATGTAGAAAAGTCTAAAACATACATAGTTATTTTACCATATAGTGAAAACTTATGAAGTGAAGTTCAAGTATATGAAAGTGTGGAAACAAGTGAACTCTAATTCTCATAGAGGTGGCAATATATTTAATAGTAACTCATCCGTTTTCCAAGCCACAGCTCAACCACATCAGTGATAGAACTTATTACCACCTCTGCATTGAAGATCTGCCACATCCAGAGCATATGGACAGTACAACTGAAGACAATATTCTACTCACACAAGCAAACACCCTTATTMAGAGAAATCCAGTGCCAACCTTTTACTGCCTGCAGGCTTAGGTTCCTGTTCATTCTCTTCCACTTTTTTCCCTGGTGCTAACTTCTCAGCACTGTCAAGCAAAGCACTAAGAGCCACTCTCCTGAAGACATTACCATGAGCTTCTTTGATGAACTGGACCAGCTGACGGATGTCACAATATAATCCCTGTTTGAAAACAAGAAGAGAGTTTGGGGGAAAGAAAGACAGTGGTACGATTAGTTTTCATAGAAAGAGAGGGAGAAGGCAATTCCTTAGGTTTAGAGAAGCACTGGAATGATAAAGACACATAATTACCACTGTTGAAACTTACAGTATATTCCCTCAGCATTGCTCCTTTGGAACCTTACCAAGGACCTTGACAGTCATTCTTAGCATGAAAAAGCATGGTTACTAAGCAAGATGCATATTCAGGAGGCTGGCTGTATTATAAGAAAGACATCAATTTATATTTTTAGTCATTAGACTTATAAGCTTTTCGTCTCTCAACTTTAAAGAGATCCAGAGAGATGCCTGCAAATAAAAGGTAGTCAGAATTTGTTTAGAGATTTCAGTCCCTGCTCTGCTTCTTTAAATTTTCTGATTATGACAAAATGTTTATGTTCTCTAGATACTTCTAACAAAGCCTGATTAACCAAAACACGGTAAATTTTGTTGGACACATTAATCAAATAATATGTATGTTGTAGCCACTTTGAGTGTGAACTTGACTCTGAATTCAATACTATTAGAACTCAAATTTTGAGTTTAATTAAAACTCAGATGTTGATAAATCAACTTTTAAAAACATACACAAGATTTTTATTAAGATATTAAGCTTTGCACCACCACCAACATTTCCTTCCTCTCTCTTCCTTCTTTAAAAGGGTAGTTACTGTATTCTTTGCTTTAGGAAAGTTCATGGGAAAGCAGGTTGCAGAGGTGTTTAAACACACACACACACACACACACACACACACACACACACTTTGATAGCTTTTGCTTTCATAAACCTAACACTGGTGGGAAATTTATACCTGTGATTTTTAGGAATATAGAAGGCAGGAACCTTAAGGATAATAGAAAGAGCGTGTATCCTTGGGGCTTGTGGGTATCAGGGCCCTATGCCCTTCACTCTGCTCTTTAGTAGCTCCTTTATGGAAGGTTGGAAGGTGCAAGACCCCCGCAAAAACAAAAGAGTTCCAAACAACAGAGAATGCACAAATCCAAGCATGCAGTGGAGAGCACCATATGAAATAATAGCTGTAGACTAATAATTGAGACCTGGGTAGCCTCCAGTATTTGACTGGCCCTGGGAGGAGTCAAATACTAACCTTTTATAGCCGGATTCTCCTCCTCTCTACACTACTAGTGGCTTAAGTGGTTTAATTAACACTCTCCTTTAGGGAGATCTAATGTGATCTAAAATATCACAGGGCTCAATTAAAGAAAACAAAACAAATTTCAGCAGCATGTTTGCATTAATTTTTAAAGTAAGTATGGTTTCAARTAATGCTTGGTATATCATCTTTTAGATTTCATGAACCAATAAACTGTGCTCTTGTATCTTCTTTTGAAGGACTCAAAATACCTTGCAACAATTTCACCAGACACTACAACCTTTGAGATGAACAATGAAGATACGTCAATCTGCAGATGAGATAATAAGATAAGGAGGAACAAGGAAAAGCAAGCATGGATAAGGCCCCACTGTGATTTACTGGGAACATTCAAGGAAATGATATCTCAGCATTAAGACTTCAACTTCTCTTCCTCATGGCCACGATGTGAGCAATTTTCTCAGAGCAGAGGCTGACAGCTCCGTGGGAAGGAGAGGAGAGCTTCTCACCAGATTCTCAGGACTGTGCAGTTCGTGTGTGGTGGAGGCACAGCGGGTGATGAGGGATTTAAACATGGCACTGACGATAATGCCTTCCACATTTTGGGCGGAGGATTTGTTGTCCACTGTGGTGAAGTTATTTCCAAACCCAGCCTTGTCTGGAAGGCAAAGGCACAAGTTAAAGGCAATATTTCCATGAAGCTCCACAAAATCGAGAGGGGCAAGGAAATGCTCAGCACCCAGGAAATAGAGAAGGGCTGCACAAAATCCAGGCACTAAGCCTTCAAGCTACTTCTGGTTCAATAATCTCTATGCAAACTTGGAAATAAAAGAATCAGAACCTCCTTTACATCCACTTCTATGACATGTACAACTGCATTTGTGAAGCATTTTGATTGATTTCTTAAAAAGTGGTTGCTTATTTAAAACTGACTCCAAACCTAAAGCCCACAACTGATCCCCTTTCCTTTGCTGTGTTCCTTTATAGAACACCAGGAATAACCTGTTATCAGAACTATTTTCACCAAGCATATTACAAGTTTGAAAAACAATGAAGTGAGGATTGTAGTTGAGATCTTCATGTCTTTTAATGTGATAATCAAATAATAAACTCTGGGATACAACCAGGAAAAGTACTTCTAAATCCATCAAATGTCTTCATTCTAAATTAACCAACAATCATTTATGTATGATATAAGCAATTGTAGTCTATATTAAGGTGTATTTAACCAAAATGTGTATTTTACTTAACTCAGGCATCATGCATAACTTTTAGTTCACTGGTGCATTTGTATTCAAATGGTAGTGGAGATATTCAGTTTATTATGAGTGCAACTGGAATTCATTGATTTTGCCCTTTAACTTRGGTCTCTATATTGAAGTTTTCTTAAAATCATGAAGCTATAAAATAGGTTGTAGGTGTATGTATGGATCCATTTGCTTGGTTTTTAAAAAGTAAGTCTATATGTATGTGTATATGTGTATGTCAAAATTGCGTTATTATTGTGTTTACTATGACCACGTTTTTGGTTTTTTATTTTTCCTGTTTTATTGTGTGAAAAAAATTGCCAAGCACTGTGTCTGTCACATAATAGGTATTCATTTCATATTTATTGAACTAGCACATACGTTCCCTGTCTCTTGATTGCTGCCTCAKTTGCTATAAAAGAGCAGGTCATCTGAGACCAAGAGTATGAAGAGAGATAGGATAAAGATGGCTAAGGTGAGGATGCCACATGCTTTAGCAAATTCCTGCTCACTGAGGTGAGTTATCCTGTGAGGATAAAATCTGTCATCAAAGATTATATGCAAGCTTCTCTTGTTTATATATTCTTATACACAAACACACACACACACACACACACACACACATGCACATGTACCTTTTTTCTCTTAATTTTATTCCCACAAATTCAGTGTGCCCCTGAAACACTACCTGCTTCATCTTGCAGCGATTTCTCCTAGAACTCAGGTACAGCTTTACTTACTGTCAGTGACCGGCTCCATACAAAATCCTAGCAAAGCATGCAAGAAGTCCACTACATTATTCAGAGAGTCCTTGTTCACATAGTCCCTCATGGTTTGTCGGAATTGCATCTTATCTAGCTTGTATAGCTTAGTGAGGCAGTGCTGGGCCTGCAATGAAGGAAGAGAAGTGAAAAAGTCACAAGTACCAGCTTAAGCTACAGATGTCCTTAACCTGAGACAGAAGCCTTCAGAAGGCAAAGACTTGCATCCATCCCTACTTTCTGGTGCCAGCCAACCCTACCAGCTCCTCCTGTCTGAATAAGAAGTAGGTAGATACAGACTGGGCAGTGCAAGGGGAAAAATCCAAAGCCAAAGCCTAATGCTGATCCCAGGGGGAGTTCAGTATTTACACTAAGATCAAGGCTTTAAGATCTTAATGAAAATAACTCAATGTGTAAAATTTAGGTAAGTGATAGAATTAACAATGCACACTTAGAAAAACTCAAAGTCTTTATGCAATGGGAAGAAGCATGCCACTGCCATGTCCAACACATTGAAATTAAGTAGATTTAATAGAGGAAGTGAGGCAAGAGGAGTAGGAAGTGAGTGTCCAGTGTGTTCCTACATGGCCCGGAGGAAAAAAATTCTTGAAACACTAACAGGTGAAAAACAAAATCCAATTTGTTTATTTTTGTGTCTGCATTTGAATGTGAAAGTATGGTATTTCAATAGAAGTTGACCTCATAGATGGGAAAACAAGTGACAACTGACTAGGTGCTGCTATTCACAATAGCTGTGTGTTTCTTAGGGTCCTGCAAATAATTTTGCCACCTGGCAAAGGAAAAGGGAACAATTCTCAGCATTAGAACCAAAGAAGACACAATCATTAACTGTTGAAGGTCAGCAGACAGAATGATCTGATATTGCCTGGAAGCATTAGGGGTTAAAAAGAAAACTCCTATCCAAAAGAAAAAAACTATTTATGAGGAGCTTTGCTACTTAAAAAACATTTCTTGCAATGTCAGTGCATCAAATTTGACTTTTGTTCCACCTCTATGATTCACCAAGTATCTCTTTATTATAGTTGAGACACAAAGAAGTCAAGGACTTTATCTATGTTGAAACTACAAACTCTACAGCAGATTCAAAACTGGGAGTCAGGGTCATCGTACCTCCTAGTAGTTATTTCTCCCATGATACAGTACTCTCATTAAGAGTGATGTTTTTGAGGATATATATTTAGATACCACCCAATGCCAAAAAGGATTTAAGATGATTGGTAATAGAAATCAAATTAGTATGTTGAAGAAGACTTCATCTGAACAAAAGAGAATGTCCACAGCAATGGAATGAAATGGGAAAATGGCAGAAATCTTTAGGATGAGGAGAAAGAGCTAAGGATCTAGAAAGAAGGGGCAGCTGGGGGAGAACTACCTTAATTGAGGATGGAAGATTTTACACAATCCGGTATAGGAATGGAAGTTAGATTAGGGAGGCAATTACCGAGAATCAGAATGGTGGGTTCTTTGTGGTAACCCAGTAATCACATTACCATTTTGACAAATCAAGATTCAGGGAAAGACACTTGAAAAATTTGAGAGGAAAAAACAGAGTATAAAAGAATGAAACTTGGATTTAGCTACAGACTTCTTGGTATGACCTTGTTATAATCGCTCCATCTGTATCATAGTCAGATGGTTTGGTATTTTTTTTTTCATCCTCTCTTTACACTGTCCTAGAAGATTTGAAATTAGGTCTTTTTATTCCCAGAGAGTTTATTAGTTGCCAGATCTCAACAGGCTCATTTATTTTTAGTTTATTTTATTTATATAAAATACATACTACTTGTTATAAAATGAAGATTACAAAACACTTAGGTGAAATGTTCTTCATGAAGAATTTAATTATCATTCCTTTAAAAATTTGAGAAGCTCTTCATTATATTAATTACAAAGTGCTTTTAAAAAATCCTAGATTGTAAAATCCTAAAGTTCGAGTGTTACTCATTCTCTACAAAACACACCCAAAAGGCATAATTTCAAATCTACCATTTGGTGGCCCATAGACTGCCTATATGGTCTTCCTGAGTTCAGTGGGAAGTTTAAGCAAGAATAAGATTCCCAAGCCTTAAATATTTTGATTGTGAATGAACAGACTAAATTTCTTCAAATGATGTAAAACTGTTAGAGAATGAATTCCTTTCAATAATTTGGGACTATCAGCTAATGATCAGATTAATAATTTAAGAGGTATCGAGGAATCATGTGATGGAATTGCTAGGCACTTCAATAAATAACATTACAATAGTCTTCTGTTTTTACAAAAGAAAAATAACTCACAAAACAAAGAGAAAAAAACTATAGAGTATCTGACCTGAGAAATATGACCTGAGAAAAAGTGAAAGTATTCTTAACTTTTTAAAAGTTAGGTAACTTCTCAGTAAGGACCTATTGCTTTGGGGGAAAAAGTAACAGCTGGAATTCCAATGGTAGAGAAATTTAGAAATATCTAACTTCTTGATCCACATATTTCCCAGGGAAATTTTCTCAAATTTTGTATCTTTTGGACAATGTGTTTACTGAACATGGATAAGCACATATGATCTCTATAATGAGTATAGCATAAATCTACAAAATAATGGAAGAATTGCCCCATAAATCAAGTTGAAAAGCCAGATAGGGAACAGTCTGAATGCCTCATAGAAGCATTCAATACCTGGAGAGAGAAAAGCATGGCGGACAAGAAGTAACAAAACCTTCTTTTCTGATTCAGTTAGTCCTGCTTTCTGTTAATCCAGAGAGACAGGACACAGTTGTCCAAGGCAATTTATACTAGAGAATGATACTTAGTAGGTTTTAGCATTTAATTTCATGAAATTAGTTTTAGCATGAGAAGTAATGTGGTTTATTTAACCCTGAAAGGTTTTACTCATGCTGTGATAGAATTAAAAATCAAAGAATCACATAAGTATGTGCAAAGATGGAGGCAATGTAAGCTTTCTATTGGCTTACTAGTTATTGCTTTAAATATTTTTTCTTACTTTTAACCTCAAAAATCCAGATCTTGGACAAGATGTTCATGTTTCAAATTAATTATTTTGGTTGTTACTTCCCATATACACATTAAACTAAAATAACATAGCATAACATAATATTTTTTAAAAAAATGGRTAAATAGATAGATGACAGAAGATACATTAAGCAAGAATTCAGCATGCCAATACTATGTGAACACCTCATGACAAAACCTAACGCCAAGGAACACTGGTCCAGCATTAGATTTTGACATTATCCTAAAACTCTGCCAACATATGCCAAAGGGTTTTCTGGACTCAGATTTGCATCCAATCTTTTTTTTTCTTTATTTTTTGTGAAAAGAATATTTTCTTAGAATTTCAATTCACATGTGAGGCAACTGCCCCAGCTCAGGCTTGCTGTGAAGATGGATCATTGGTCAAGTCAGAAGGAACAAGGCACAGTCAGGAGAGCTCACTGAAAATAAGCTGTAATGTTCCATTACAGAATTACACATGGAAAGCCCAAGGGCAGAGTTTCAAGTTTCACACAGTTCAAAGGGAAATGATCTCAAATATGTAGAAGTTGAGGTTCATTTTGAAGCAAAGCAGCCAGAAAACAACTGGCTACTTTTACAGTCCTGTTTTGTCCCAATAAGGGCCATTTTCCATATCTAAGTAAGAACAACAAACTGAGTCTCAACTTTGACCCCTTTCTCTAATATGAAATATGCTTTTATAGTAGCCAGACAGATGATTGAAAATCATTTGTCGCAGGTCATCAGAAGCTTGCTAAATGTATTAATCTGTGCAAAGTTCTTCCAAACTGAAATTCACATTCACATTCCAATTCCCTTGCACCAATTGGTTTGTTGGTCTGCTCTAGGTAGGAGGCAGAAGTGTTTTCCCAATTAAACTTTCCTAAGCCAGTTTTAGTTGTTGAGATATCTTGTTGGATTTCTCCCATCCCAAGATACCATTAAAATGCCCTATAAAATACAATATTTTTCAGGGAACACTGACCCTCATTGTCAAAGGACTCATTCCTCAACTGGAGGGAGGGAAGAGGGAGAGGAAATGGAATCTACTTTAATTCTCTTACATTCTCTCGGAATACCTGGTGTCTCAGACGATCTCCCGAGATCCCTCGGTGTCCTTCTCCGCAACCATAGGCACATCCCAAAGACTTCACTATTTTGATGAGCATGGTGAGAGCAAGCCTATGGTTGCTTACAGGTGTACTTTCATCCTGGTACCCATGATCAAGAAACAAAAAGAAGTCTACTTACTTTGCCACTGAACCACTATTGCTACGAAGATTCTATTTTACAATTAAATAAAGTTTGTATGTTTTACAATAAGCACCTGCAATTGGGGAAATACAATTGTCCAGGGTCTAACAAACAAACTCACTTTTCTAAAACCTATTTCATGAATTAAAAGAAAATAATTTATGCATTTTGAATAGCCTCTGGTGCTTGAACATGAACACAGACCTTTTTCTTGGAAGATATGCTTCACACCCTTGGCAGCCTATTGGAACGGCTACTGGGGTGGCGGGTGAGGATCATCAGCAATGAAGGCCAATGAATTTCCTTAGAAACTACCCTCATGAGCAGTCTTCTGATAATACCACCAGGTAAGGATTACTGCTGAATTTCTTCAACTGGTCAAAGTCTAGAACTTTGAAATTTCATGGCAATTTCTGCTATTTTTGAAGGTTTTTTTTCCAATTGTTTCACTATATTATAATTCACATGCATAAGAAAAAGCAAGAATATGCAGAACTTTATAAGCATTCAGATTGATTCTCCCCTTGAGGGTTGATTGGGAGCCCTCCTGAGATGAATGATGAAAATCATTTTCATCTACTTTTTTGTCCCTTTTAATCCTTACTGTGAGTGGAGAACATGATGTCCAAAAAAGGAACTTCCTTGAATCATTTCCAAAGAAGCATAAGGACGCTGTTGCTAAGGGATGATGCTGAGCCCAGTGTGGGGGAGTCATTACCTTTGGGAAGCAGCAACCTGCCTCCATCATCCTAGCTACTTTCAGAGTAAGCACATTCATTGAGGACTTGGGATTCCAGCGCCTGGTCCTTAATTGCGGGTAACATTAGATAAGTTAACTAATCCTTTTTTTGTTTCCTCACCTGTGAATTAAGCACCCTAATAACTGCCCTTCCTACTTCACAGGTTTGCTGTGTAAAGCAAATGATATAATGGTGACCACTGCTCAACAACCTAAGGGATTCTCATGTTAGTTACATGAACAGGTTGACACATAAACTTTTGGGCTACACATAGAAAGAATACTCTAGGGTGTAAAAGGAAGGGCTAGGGATTTATACAGAAATTATTTTCTGCCTTGATGTGATAGTGTAGATACTCTCCTCCCCTATGCTATGTAGTTGGCCCTCCTTTTCTTATCCATAAACTTATCCATAAACTCATGCAGTGAATGCAGTGCTGTACCCCAGAAATTCTCCCATCAGGAATAAAACATTCATTCTCTGAGTTGTTGGAAGTGTTGATGGCTGAAAATCCTCAGCTGACTGCCTCTGCTGGAGAGCTGCCTCCACCAACCAACCAATTTTACAGTGTTTTCCAGGAGGCAGACTACCTCCAATGACAGGTCAGTGGCAGAAGAGTGGTAAAGGCAAAAAGTCTCCTTGCTTCACCTAAGAATTGCTTTGAAGAGCCATCTCAACTCCAGATATATTTACAATTAAGATGTCATTTTTAGTTTGGATGGAATCTTCCCTGCAAGATTTGATAATTGTATAACTTTGGGCAAACTACTCAGTGTCCTACAAAATAGCAATAATATAATAATTTCATAAGTCAAAAAAGTAAAAACATGTAATGTCCATTATAATAGCAAAACAAATGTTAACTATTATTTCTAGGTCTAGGACACTGCTATTGTCTGAGGCACCTTTATGCAAATTAGAAACACGCCTCTCTTGGTGGATGAGTTGGAAACAGCCAAGCCTCTGGGTGGATGCAGTGCTTGGATGTGAAGCTCTGTGAGCAGAGCTTGTACTGGATTTCATTCCTCACCAGTTCCCACAGTCAAGATTTTTTGGATAGTAGGTGGACAATAGAGTCATATAGTAGTGTCTCAGAAAAGGTCATCCCAAAAAAGGGCTTATTTGGAAGACTGGTTTACATATATTTTTAAATTATTATATGTCCCTTTAAAAATTCCCTAGCCCTAAAAATCCTTTGTAAGGATCGATTCAGTTTTTTATTCTTTAGACCTTCAGGTGTCCTTGGGATTTAAGTTTCTTTCATAGAGGATATTCAGAAAGATGTATCAAGCTACAGGCAGAAACCAGAGTACTAAATGATATTTCAGCTTCTCAGTATAAGCTAGTGGCCAAAATGGAAATAGAAATTAGATCTTCCTTTCTGTCTTAATCAATTTCCCATGTTTCTGATATTAGTGGGGCTGAAAAATTAGATAAACTTTCTGATTCCACTGAAAAGAAAAGATGTTTTTAGGGAAGAACAGACCTTTATGAATCATAAACACAAGCCACTTGACCTAGCATCACATTTTATTTTATAAATTCTTTGTCCTAAAAAGAATGTCATTTTGAGAACTAACTACAAAACAATTGAATCTTGCTTGCTCTTTTAGAGACCACATTATCTCTTTTTACAATCATCCATACTGATCAAAAGTGATAATTTTGGTCAAAATAACATTTATAGCACCAAGCTATAGTATCTAAAATAATATCTAGGTATATTATATGATTAAGGCAGAAGAAGAAAATCCTAAAGATAAGGCTAAGGAATCCAAGAATATTGAAGCAGGAATATTTGGATCAGAATATTGGGAAGATAAATCATGAATATTGGGAAGAWAAAAGTAARCCTTGAAATAAAGAAACACAGAGGATAAATGTGCATTAATTATGTAGTAGGTGGGAGTAGAAAGAAAGAAGAAATTTTTATAATTTCTGCAATCCTCATTTGGATGTAAAAATTTAACGCMCTATGGAGAAAAATGGACAATTTATAGTTCATATTGTGTCTGTAGATGTTAAAACTCTATATAGTATAATCTTTCACTTGTAAACACTTGACTTAATATGCGATTCTTACCTGTTAGAGATTCAAATCTCTTGTTGTTTTCAATTTCTGAACAGCACATTCCAGCTACAACCTCAAATCAGTGTGAGTTATGTGAATTTAAGCTGTGGTAATTTGTATTTAAAGCTCAAGAAGGAAAAAATGAATTCTTGTTGTTAAATGCAGAGTTCATACTGAGGTTTTGCCAAGGCAGAGGGAATGAAATTCAGGAACAATCAATAATAGGAAGGCAAAACCCTCTGAGAGGTGACACACTGAGACACAAGGGAATTGAGGCTAGAATAGTTGTTGCCATGCCAAACCAATATCAAATAAATCAACCAACTAATCAAGCACCATTCTTCTCTTGCTTTCCCCTTCACTMTGGCTAAAGTTGTCTGCCAAAAATCTGTTATATAAATACTTTATTTAGAAAGTCCACATTGCTTCTTATGGACTRGGTATTTGTGTCCTCCCGAAATCTGTATATTGAAATCTTAAACTCTAATCTGATTATATTTGCAGATGGGCCCTTGGGAATTAATTAAAATTAAATAAGGTCAGACACTGGGACCTGGGTCCAAAGCGATTAGGCTGTCTTCCTGCTCATGCACAAAGTGGAGGCTGTGTGAGCACACAGCAATGGTGGTCACCTACAAGTCAAGCAAAAGGCCTCACATTAAACCCACCCCGCTGGCAACTTGACCTTGGACTTCCCAACCTTTAGAACTGTGTGGGGTAAATTTCTGTTGATTAGGCCATCCAAACTATAGTGTTTTCTTATTGCAGCATGAGTGGATTAAGACACCACTCCATTTATACCTCGAACATCTCAAGAAAGAGGCTATCTATCCTTAGTGGCACACTGAGAATTATGGAAATGGAATGCATCTGAGGTGTTCTGTTGCAGAAATAACCTAACCAGAAAATTCATTCTAACAAAGCATGAATGATGATGTGTGTGGATTCTGAACACTGTTCAATCTGTTTCTACTCATGCCTGCTAAAAACCTAATTAAGATATTTCTACATTCAGTACTTTCTTACTCTAGTGATTAGTTGCTGCTCTAAGTCAATAAATTGCTAGCAAGCCAGCATTGGGAAGAAATTCAGAGGAATATTTCATGAGGACACAGAAGGTGGTTCAGTCATACCTTCTCTTGGTTCTTATCATTCTTCTCATAAGGGCCTCCTCCACCTCCTCCACCTCCTCCTCCATCACCTCCTCCACCTCCTCCATCACCACCTCCTCCTTCTTCTCCTCCACCATCTCCAGCTCCACTAATGGAAGGGCCCCCAAATCCACAGGTAGAACTTCCAGATACTCCTTTGAACTGGAAAGTTCCTTCACTTGGTCTCTTTTCCACAGTCTCATTTTCCTTGTTTTCACTCTTCTTTCTGTTCTTTTCTACACATGGTACTACACCAAGTTGAAGCAAGCATTCCACAATGTTTAGTGCCACATCACAGATTCGAGAGCTGATGTCATGGTTAAGGACAAGATAAACAGCCTTCAGAACCACCTGCAGAGGACAAAGATAAACAGGACAATTAAGTTACCTCTTCCTAAATAGATTTAGTTATTCTGCTTAACTAATTATTCTTCTTCTGTGCTATGTGCATAAATCAGACAATTTTCAGATTTTCTTATCTAAGCTGCATGGGGACCTTGTGTACGTGCTTAATATAGACTTAATATCATCCAGAGAATTAAAATCATGTATTTTTTCAATTAAGTCTCTCCAAACTTGCCATGATATGTACAGTTAATGGGGATATTGAAGCACAGTGAATTAATGGGACACTAATTATTTACTCAAGTGGAAACTTGTATAACTGATATTTAAATTCAGGGTGTTTCAATTCTTTTCACTTTCCACAAATAATGAATAAAGAAGAATAACATATTTATGCTCATAATAAAGCAATACGTGCTTATTCACAATTGTATCATTATTTACCCTTCAACTTCAAATGTATAATATTTGCATTTTTAAATTATGCCCCTTTATTGATTTTAATATTTTAAATTATTTGCTAGGCCAGGTTCCCTGATGTGCAATAATAATGTTTGTGAAACATAATTATAAAATATAGCAACCCTTTCATTTGCTAATAACTATACTCAAGGAAAGCATTCTTCAGAATGCAAGTCTAAATAGTTTAAGGACTTCCATTCATTTTTTTTCTGACTACACAGGAGGTTTGTAGTCTTGTTGCTTATATAACCAAATGAAATAAATGAGCTTCTTACTCTTTTTCTGGGGAAAAAAAGAGGTTTAGAAAACACACAAACATATATTTATGTTTAGGATTCACTAAGTTTTTAGAATTATAAACATACTCTTAGATCAGATMAAATATAATGTAATGCCTAGGGAAAAACAAAAGGTTCATCTATGATGGTTGACACATTTAAGAATTTTTTTATGTGGGTAGTTTTTTCATTTTAAGATTCAATACTTCTAAGAATCTCTATGCCCTTTTACCCAATCTTGTGAATATTGGATTTAAAGAATCAATATCTTTCTGGCCTTCATAAGAAAAATTCTTGTTCCTTACGGAAAGATCAAGCATTCCATTCTTGTGGACAAAGTTGTTGGTCCCATCGATATGCTCTGTGTCCTCCAGGTAGCTGTAATTAATGCAGGAGTCTGTGAGGCTTCGAGGCAGGTTAGCACAGGCCAGCGGTTCGTGAGGCATCTCTGGGATAGGCACTTGGTTGCAGAGCTTCCTCATATGCTCATTGAAAAAGTCTGCGTAGCCTACGTTGAATGATGCCAATGTGGTATTGAAGGTTGCTACTGTGATAGTAGAGATCTGGGATCGCACTAATGAAACAAAAGAAACAACTTAGTTTTCCTCATATTCACCTGCTATATCAGTTAGATAGTTATGCTATTATTTAAATTATGACCATAATCAGGGCTGTAGCTTTTGTAGATATATGACTTATAGTCTCAAATCTATATACTGAACTCCCATGGAACTCCTGAAGCTGTAAGTCCAAGTAATATTGATAATTAATGGAGACTATAGAAAAACTAAGTTGCAACTGGCTTCCTTTAGCTGAAGCTAGGATTTACCTTTTGTTAATGCTGACTTAGTTCACTTGATCATAACAGGTAGATTTTACACACTGTTAGATGACAGATCATATTAACAAACACTAGTTTAACTGAACTATTTTCCCATAAGTTATGGCAGTTAAATATCTTATTTTGATCTGGTGTATTACAAAAAAAAAACAAGATGGAATTTTCTTCTCTGGTTAAAGTAATAGAATGTAAATTTATAACGAATAGATACTTGAAGTACAGTTCAAAGAAAAGAGGGATTAAACTTGTGTTCCTATGAGAGCATAAGAATAAGAAAAAAAATAAATTATTCTGTTAAGAGTAAAGAAAAAGAGCCTGCCTTAGATTCGATCCAGAAACACATTCAATTTGTGTAAAGCTCATAAATCACTTCTCTGAAATAGAATCTGTGTGAAAAAGGCATTGGTGGCCCTGGAAGGCAGTGACTTTCTTCCCACGGAAGGTGTAGTCCTTCTGAAGCATGTCACAGAGGAAACTAAAGTGCAAGATGCGCTTTAGCCCTGTGGGTCTGTGATCTTTTAAGATGAGTGGCTCATCTTTGCTCTTCTTAAAGGTCTGGTGGTCTCAGTGTGGTCAAATAGCTCTTCGCTAAGAATGGCTAAACATTAAATTACCAAGTGATAACACAAGAATGGAAGCTTTCAAAGAACATAAGTAAGTGGAATGAAAATGGAACCTTCGGTAAGCACAGAGACCAAGAAAAGAAACCTAAACTCCTGCCCCCAGCCCTGCCTGGGACCCACCTTCCTTGACTGTGTTTTCTCCGTGGCTGTTGGAGGGGTCAGGCAGGTCGCTCACCAGAGTGTGGTGGGAGTGGGAGTGCCTGGCGCTCAGGCTCTCCATCTCAGTAGCTGCATCTGAACTGCCCCGCCGCGTCAGTTTCCCTGAAGTGGACAAGAGCATCACAAGGGGTTTTTAAAATCTGAAAGGTTCTCTGCTGAGATTTTTGTCTTTCCTATGGACAGCCGTGAGAGTGAGGAGGTATTAGGAATAGCAGAAGGCCCAGCCAAAATAGCAAGAATTGAACTTGCCTGGGGTATAGTCAAGGTCAATATGATTGATGGAGCTGCCTGTGATAAGGTCAGCCCCAATCTAAGCCAAATGTCAGAAACCATCTGTTGTGGACCTGCTAACTGTCAGCTCCTGGTTTTAAGCTGGCTGTCTTAATATGCCATCCCAAACAGAAAAAAAATTTTTTTCCTTTGCTTCACTTATTCCTCTATTAAATAACAGAGTTAAATAAAGGTCTGTCTTTAGATTAACCAATGAAAGTTAAGGCACAGAACCCTCTAGAGCCATGTTTCTGAATCTAAGAAATAGGGCCTTTAACCTGGCTAATTACACAGAATTCTTACGTAATTACTCATTTGCATTTGTTTGGCTGTGAAAATACAGCATTATTTCAGTTACTGGGGAACCTTCAGTTAGGACCAAATTTCTTGGCTGAATTAATTGTCCAAGAAAGACCCAGACTTTCCAGGGAGCCACAGGTCAAGATTCCTAAATAGGTCACTCAAGCTCTGCCCTACTTCAAGAGGTCTTTTGTGATCACCTAAAATGGTGGTTGGCCAGCCTCCTTTTTCGATGCCTCKCCTGTCTTCTCCAAGCCCAGAGAAACTTCCAAAGGAGAATGTGCTACGAGTGGGGGACACATCCAGGTGGTCCTCATGAAGCAGGAATGGCACACCCATTCTTCGGGGCCTCCTCTTCCCGGTGTGGTGGAATGGAATGGAGCCTTTCCTCTCTCGGTCTTCCTTACGGCTCTTGAACTGCAGTGGTAAGAGATGAATAGTCAGGCACAGGGCAAAGGAAAGGTTGTAGTTTACTTCTCAAAGGGCTTCATATCCTTGAGTAGTAAAACACAAGCATAGGGAATCCAGGAAGTCATTGGATGTCATCCAACAGAAAGGGGTGAAATTTCCCTAATTTGTTAAAAGAGAAAAAGAAACTAAGCAAAGGGCCACACATTTCATAGGTCTTTCTGATTTGTGGATTAGAGGAGTGTTCTCAAAGTCTGATCCCTGGACCAGCAGCATCAGCATCATGTGGGAACCTGCTTGAAAGGTACTTTCTCCAATGCATCCCCAGACGTATTGCATCAGAAACTCAAAAGGTGAGGTCTAGCAATGTGTTTCAACATGTCTCATAAATGATTCTAATGTACACTAAAATTTGAGAATCACTGGATTGGAATATAGGATTTCTGGTCACTTGGACCAGGCTGTCCCTTTTTCAAAACTGAAATTCATTATTTTGGTCAACCAACTTCAAATATGTGCAACTGCTCACAGGATATAGTCAAAGATGATCCAGAGGAAACATTGATAAAAAACCCATTATTCCTACAAAATAGTTCAAGATCAAGTATAATTAGGAGTTTAGAATTGTCTAGATAACTTGTCAAATATACTAGTGCCTGAGCCTATCTTTAGCAATTCTGATTTAATTGGTCTGGGATATGGCTTAGGCACTTACCTTTTTATAAAAGCTCCTCAAAACTTCTATATGCAGCCAAGATTGAAAAATTTTCTTTTTTTTCCCCCTCTTAAATGATGACTGGTTTTAAAAAAAAATGATGGCCATTGCCTATTGTTTCATTATTAATGAATGCAGTCATGACAAGCTGGACTCATAGATTAGTAAATATGTGTTATATTATTCACGGACATAATTCAGTTAATAATTTTAAAAGCAATTATTTTCAAAATAAAAGATAAAAAGACCCTTACTTATGTGTGTGTATACACACACACATATACCTGTGAGTCTACACATATTATTTTCTATGCAATTAGTGCCATATATTTATTTTAAAAAGAGACAGTCTGATGGGTTCAGAAGAGCATTGAAGTATTTAGCTAAATATCTACTTTCAGATTTGGGTTCACTCTTTGGTGAACTACCTAGTTTCTAAGGGTCAAATTCTTCTCTGGAAAACAGGTAGAATAAAGAATTTCATTGGATTAAGTGAGAACTCTTTWTGTAAAATACTTGATGAAATGAGTTGGACCACACAAATGCAAGTTATCATATTACTACCACAACTACCTCCACCACGGCAGTGCATTATCAGGACTGACCTTCCCACAACCCTGTGGAACTCTGAGAGTAGGAAGCACACTCATACTAATGGAGAGACTTCAAAGGCCTATAGGGTTATGCTATAGGTCATAGCCAGTGTTGTAACCACCCCATACTGTAGCAAAATTAGAAAGAAATACCTCATGCTCCACTGAATTTAATTAATAAAATATCAAAAGGTATAAATGATCCTACTCACCTTTTTAAAAATGTTCATACCCAGGTCTGAAGAAAGATCTGGTACTGCAGACCTKCGCAGATTGGTCAATGAAACCTTGGAAAAGGCCTCAGGGCTAAGAGATTTTTCTTCTTCATTACACTTCATGGTGAGATCCTTAACATGCAATAAAATAGACAATGATCAAGAACTTAGGGCTGTTATCCAAGTATTTTGTTACTGATATGTCACATTTTTAATAGGGATACACCTACTGTTTTGATATCTATGAAGTATCTAACTTGCATGTCTGGAATTTCAAAATCCAAATTCTACAACCTTAAAGAAGTATTTCATACTAACTTCTGTTTGTAATTTTCAGCACTGAGGCCATGTAACCCCACATCCACAGTGATGATAAAATAGAAAATAGATATCTCTTTTTATTTTTTAGTTAAAAATAATATTTTTCCAGGGGCTGGGATTGTAGCTTAATTGGTAGAGCATTTGCCTTGCATGTGTGAGGCACTGGGTTCAATCCTCAGCACCACCTTAAAAAAATAAATTAAATAAAGGTATTGTGTCTGTCTTCAACTAAAAAAAAATTTTAAGAATATTTTTCTATTTAAAAATTCATTAAAGGAAATAATTACTTTGGGCAGAATATCTACTAATAAAGCAGAATATATTTCTTTTCCACTCTGATATTACTTATGTATATTTTCACAATATGCAGAAAAGAATTTTAAGCCCCCAAACTGTAAAACCCTATAAGTCAGGTTTTTCTCTATATTTTCAACATACAGTGTTGATGAGAAAGAGAGGAAGAACAAGCATTCAACTTATATTAGGCAGTTGTTCATCAGAAAGCAATTTTCATGGGGATGTCACCACATTAATAAACACTCAGTTTAAACATCTATAATAAATAGTAAGACTATATATCAATAAACAATATTTCTAATGATGATACTGAAATACTGAAAATTTTTGAATTATGCCAAATCAGTAAAATGGTGGCATCCCATATTTTATGATATAGGTAATTGACAGATGAAGTGTCAAAGTCTTTATTACCTACTTTGATTACTCMGAAGACCTCATTTTCACTATTCTGGCTACACTAAGACTTACACTACCATGGCATGTGTAAGAGGTGCACTTCTTTCAATGGTAAACAAGAACTAAACAATAGCAAAAACGTCCATTGATGAAAGATGGAAGGGAAAGGATAATGGCAACCAAGGAATCCACCAATCAGACAGCACTGGATYCACAGAAGAAAAAGAGAGCATGTTATGGCCAAAGTTGTCAGTTCAAATGACAATGGACAGAGTGTCTTACTTGGGTTTTGTGAGTGTTCACTAGTGAGGGTGCTGCCGCCACCATTGAACTACTCCTGGGTCTGGGCAGGAGAGGAATATCTGGCTCTGGAGCCTTCTCTGGCTTCTCTTCCAACATATGCCGCAGCCTTTGTAGATAGTACATCAGAGACCACTGGGTGCCTTCTTCAGACCAGTGGGGCTGGAGTAGGCAGCGGAGAACAGCAACATCAAAGTAGGTGGCATAGCGGGATCTTTGGCATGGAGGTATCACCAGAGAGGCCCTGCTCCCAAAAGCAGAAAGAAGACAATTACCCTGGCAGTCAAGCCTTCCAAGGGGGCAGCGCGACATGGCTTATAGCTCTACTTTTCTCATTTTTTCATTTATTCATTTTTTATCTGTTGTTTGATTTGCTTGAAAATCCTAACTGGTCTTACTCATTTTGCTTTTGCTAACCATTTCCTTGAAACATAAACATTGAAAGAGTTTTGAAGAATGGGTAAAAATTAGCCAGGCAAAGTTGAGGTTGGGACAGGAAAGTAAATCAGCATTTCCACTAGAACAAAACAATGCTTGCAAATGTTCAGATTTTAAAAAATCATGAGTTTGGAGAGGGAGAATTCATAAGCAATTAGTCTGWTGGTGAGTAATTTGGGTGGTAGGTAATGATGAGAGTCAGAACCATAGAAATAGTTTGTGTCAAGATGTTTCTTTTCTACTAAGCTATGAGGTTTAACTCTGGTAGAAACAGGAATGATGTTTGTCCTGTCTACTACACTGGGCTATTTTAATTTCAGTTGTGAAAATATTATGTAAAAGAAAAAGAAACTGCAAATGCTAAACACAATTTTACTATGAGAAAATGAGATCATTTTGAAATTCTTAAGTTATGTATCTATGTAAGATAGTAAAACAAATTTWAAAAACAACATGTTTCTGCAATTTTATTATTCAATTTAAACACTTGATATATTCATTACTTAGTGTTCAATTTACTCCTAATTAAAAATAGATTCTCAAATGATTACTCAGCATAACACAACAACATAAGCATGGTAGATGCAATGAACTATATGTTTGTGGCTCTCAAAATGTGTATTTTGAAATCCCAACTTCCAATGTGATGGTATTAGAAGGTAATTAAGTCATGAGAGTAGAGTCATATATATATATATATATATGACATACATAGCTCTCTTGTTTTCTTTCTATCGTGCAATGAAGACAGTCTGGAATCAGAACCTGACTGTGCTGCCACCATGATCTGAGACTTCCAGCTTCCAGAACTGTGAGAAATAAATTTCTATTGTGGATAAGCCACCCACATTAAGATTCTTTGTTACAGCAACCCAAACTGACTAAGGCATTAGTGGATATGTAGGATCATCCTGGATGCATATGATCCAGTCAGAATGACAGACAATAACTGACAAAATATAAACAGAATTTCTGGGATCCAAGATGGCATCTGGGTTCTAAAAACTACCACCAAGGACTTCCTTTTGAGCCATATGATGCAGAAGGACATGTTTGTACCTTTCTCTCAGCTAACAAATATCACTACCTACACATGAAGACCTCTTATCAAAAATGCAACCACTGAGAGCAAGAACGAGTTTCCTAAATTTCTCAGATCTGTATTTTGAATTGAAGATGTATGACTCCTGTTATGGTTTGGATCTAGAAATGTCCCCTGAAAAGCTCATGTTTTAAAAGCATGATCCCCAAAACAGCAAGGTTCAGAGGTGGGTTTTCAGGTAATGATTAGATTATGAGACCTATAACCTCATCAGTGGATTCATCCATTTGATGGATTAATAATTTGAATAGGCTACTGGGTGGTAACTGAAAGCAAGTGGAGGTGTGGTTGAAGAAGGCAGGTTACTGGGAGTGTAGCCCCTTCACTCCTTTCTGACTACCATGAGCTGAGCAGCTTTTCTGTACCACATCTTTCCACCATGATGTTCTGCCTCATCTCAGGCCCAGAGTGATGGAGTTGGCTGACAATAGACATGAACTGAGGCTTTTGAAACTATGAGCCTCAAATAAACTTTCCTCCTTTAGGTTGTTCTTGTCAGGTATTTTTGTCACAGCGATGAAAAGGTGACTAATACAAATCATTAATGTTTCAAGAAATTAATTTGATAGGACACAGGTACTATGAACCTTCTAACTACAAAAAAACCACTATGGAGTAAACTCTTGTATGTGTGATGAAATTTTTGTTTCACTTCACACATTTGTCAAGCGTAATTTAGTCAAATATATTTCTTACTGTGTGCTGCAGTACAAAGTTAAAGAAAAATAAAGACCTGAACCATGTCTAAAGCATTGTTATTTTCATAGCCTTTCCAGTTTCCTATTGAAGCATCCATACTCTGTTATTTCTATTCTTATTAATAGAATTGTCTGGTGTGTTGAATGACAACTGCCAATATTTATAATGGTTGAGTTTCAATGTGATCTTATAGTTTAATATTCTTAAATATTTTAATTGACAACTATGGAACTAAATATAAATTCAAATTCAATCACGTAAGATGCTGCAATACTTAATTTTTAGCTGGATTGGCAGTCATATTGAAGAAGCTTACTACAATACCTTAAATTCTCATATATGTAATACCAGCATTTATCCTTTTTCGAGAAAGCTAGAATATTCTGTGAATATTGGTTTTGTGCCAACTTTGAATACATTACAGGCTCCCACAGATTCCGTATCTACCACTTCTCATCAGCTCTATCTGTGGATACCACTCGTCTCAGTCACCAACATCTTTCATCAGGTAGATTGCAATTACTTCCTACAAGTCTTGTTGTTGCTTACTTCTCCACTGTTGCTCAACTGCTCCCAACAGGCAATCCAATCAACCTCAGAATAAGATTTGAGCTCTTTACAGTGGTCAACAAGACCTGTATAAGCTGGATGTGCTTTCCATGTTTGCTCATATGCCAGTTATCAATTATTGTCTTTCAGATTAAATTTACCTTTTATTTTTTAAAAAATATAGCCCCTGTTTTAATATCTTCTCAAATTCTCCAGCATACTACTTGTTTCTTTCTGAGACTTTGACTGATTACACCTCCAGAAGAACCTCCATTCTCCTTTCTACCTATTTCCTAAGAGGCTTTCATTATGCTCCCTTTCCCCGACCCCATTCCATTTCACTTTCTTAATGAAGCATGACCTCCTCTAAGCTTATCATTTGTACCTGAGATAATATGAATCCTCTCTTTTTTAGTGTTATACTTTGGGATTTATAAAGAAAAGACAAAGCTGGCTACCAGCTGTGTAATTTTAGGTCCTCAAGTCTTCATGACAATCATGTGACTTATGAGAGCCTGTGAAAACCATTATTTTCTTGACAAGATTTCTGTAATGAAGGCAGATATTAGCAGTTTTACAGAATTATTTCCCCCTTCAGACTTGCAGTAGTTATTTACTCTTTACTTTCTGCCCCAATTATTTTGTTACCAAATTAGATTATGGAATACCATAAATTCTTTCAAATCCCTAAAGCACTATTCCACATAAGATGCCAGTGGACCCTTCCATTGGAACCTCAAGGTGGATGGGAAGAAAAGAGGCTGTTAAAAATACAGACACCCACATTTTTAACAGCCTTTTTATTTTTTTTTCACCCAAGACTTCTAAACCAGCACCTCTGAGGTTGGGTCCCAGGAATCTTTTTATCTTAAACATTATCCTTGGGTATGCCTTAAGTATTCTAAATAATATTGAATGACAATTGCCCTAAAAAAAATATATGTAGTTCACGATTTCTATACTTTTAGGCCAACATCCAAAACAATTCGTATTTGGAAGCTCCATAACTGTAATGGTATGTTGACAATTTCATTCCTGAGGGCACCAGATGACTAAACCTGTATCTTTCCCTATGTACAAAGCTTATTTGACTGAAAATATTGCTAACTGTACAGTGAAGTCCCATAGGCATTAACTACTTTCTAACAAAGCTTGTCAGTTCATCTGGCGATGGAATGCAGAACAGCAAGACTCCATGAACTCAAGGATGTAATCAGAGACAAAGAGCATGTTATATAACTATGTAATCAAAACTTGCTAAATAAATTCACATTTCAGTTGTTTAATATTGAAAGAGACTCAATTTTGAAAAAACTAAGACTTTCTGTAGCAATTATTTACAACTTGAAGTAACTCTGTTTAAGGTGTTATTCAAGCACTAGTTTATTTGACTTAAAGTGTGAGCTGTACTAGTTGGAATAGTCACTAAAAAGCAAAAATGATTACTAAATATTTAGTAATCATTTAGGGTAGCATTGTCAGATGTAATTAACTGTTCTTTAACTGGTAAATAATTTAAATTAACTAACTAATTAACAAACATAAGATTTGAAAATTTATATAACTGCTAAAAACAGTATGGGGAAAACTCATTGCATGAGWTGACGGAAAAGTCCTTTCCAACTCTGATATTCTATGACACTATATTACTCAGTAGAAAAAAATAAAAAGTGAAAATTTTATAAAGAATATGAACACAACTTTTCTTCTAAATGGTATATATAAAAATAATAAAGAGAAGCACACATAAAAAAGTTAATAATGTATATTATTAACACATTATTAATGTGGACTTGTGGATGGATTTTACTTATTTTTCAATATTTTATACATTTAAGTAATTATCCATAATTAGCTTCATACAAATTTATATACATAGACTAAATAATACATTATGGTGAAAAGAGATTTTCAAAACAGGTAAGAATTGCTTTCATCTATTTTCCAAGCACTATGGCTTTGGGAAACCAAGTTAATATTAATGAATGCTGGAAGATAATAGTAGAGAGCTTAGATGGCAAATAAGTACTCTGGAAATAATAGAGGATCTGTGGAGGCAGAGAACTCTGAAATCAGTCTTGACCCTATACAGAATTTAATGAAGCATAAATTAAATCTATGCATATGGTAATTAAAGATGAAATCTCACATTAATTTAAAAGACTAGCTACCTGTTCACTGATGGCAGAGTGCAGGGAAGAGTGATCCTCAGTTCAATCAAGGTCAAAGCAAAAGACATGATGAATTGGATTTGTTTGATAAAAGCAAACTGCTTTTGTTGCTAGGATATTTTCTCCACTTTGTTATTAAAGTTTTCTCCATTTCTGATTAATACAGGATCTCCCCCAATGAGGGAACTTCTGAAAGGTCTATTTTGTGCATAGTCATATCCATGGCAACCAGCCACTAGAGCTAGCAGAGAAAAGACAACATATTTTTTCGAAGTGCCACTGATT